CGGCATTCGGTCGTTCACTATTTCTCCATTATCTGAACCTGATTGACATCATTACTTGTCTTCCTAGCCTAATGATCACAGGCTTAGCAACAGCACACATGGACGCCTAGCTATCTTATAAAAGCAGTCGAGTTATTGATATTGTTCCTAATGTAGTGAGAGACAATTAAGCGAGGGAATGATGTGTGCAGTCACCTCTGAATTTAAATGAGGCTTCAGTGTATATGTAATTGCTTTTGTGTGAGTCATACCACCATCATGCGTTTGGCTGGGACAGTTCTGCAGTGTGTTGTAACCTGAGGACTAGATGCTTCTCACCAGTTATGTACTGTACCTCAGTGGGTGTGTTAGTGATGACAAATGGGATTCTAATCTAAAATTTGAATGCGCCGTGCAAGAATTAATTAAATCACAAATATATCTAGGTCTTAAAATGTATCCAACCATCTTGTTTTTTGATGCATATCTGGGTCCAAGTTCTGGGAAGCGCACGGATGCCCAGACCTTGGTCTTCCTGACCACCTCGTTCAGCTCTTCTGGTGGACCACCAAGGCGAGCCCAACCAAGTCAATCCACATCACCTCTCGAGCTGCTCCTGGGTCTGCCCTGGGTCCTCCCCCTAAGTGGACATACCTGAAACACGTCACCTATTAGGTGTCCATGCCCAAATCAGCTCCTCACACCATCTCTAAGGGGAAGTTAATTACTTATTTATTCATTCTTTCTGTCCCTACCCGAAAGATAGGATAGCAAAGATAGGAAGTTGTTGACTGGTTGTGCAGTCTTGCAATTGTCCTCGAATGTCCTTGAAAGGTCATTACTTCAGCTTAAACTTGTTCTCAACGCAGACAAAACAAAACTCATGTTGTTTTCTAAATCAAGGAGACGAGCCCAAACAATCCCATCAGTAACCACTCTTGAAGGTAATAAAATAGAGTTGGTTCACACCTATAAATATCTGGGAATCTTAATTGATGACTCGCTTACCTTCAAACCACATGTAGAGAATCTTGTGAAAAACCTGAAGTTAAAAGAAGCGGCTTGTTGCTGCAACATTCTTGCCTATGCTGGATTATGGTGATATTCTATATATGAATGCTTCTGCTCAATGTCTTCGAATGGTTGATTCTGTGTGTCGTGCTTCTCTGAGGTTCATCACTAACTGTAAATTTCAGACTCACCACTGTGAGTTATACTCTCAGGTAGGATGGCCTGCTTTGGTAAGTCGGAGGAACTCTCATTTATACAGTTTTATATATAAGGCGATACTTGGGTTGCTGCCTTCTTATCTATGTTCCCTGCTTGTAATGAAACATGCTGGTCGGTATTCTCTTCGTCCGCATGGCTACTTGTTGCTTTCTGTTCCATTTGCCCGAACTGAACTTGGTAAAAGAGCTTTTGTCCATTTAGCACCCTCGGCTTGGAACAAACTGCAGAAGGAATGGAAAATGACTGAATTCATTTCATTAAGTGCTTTTAAATCTAAACTACGAATCCTTGAGGCCAAGTCCATAACATGTAACTGTTTCAATTAGATTGATTGTCATTTTAACTGACTTTTTTATTTTTGTTTGAATTTTATTGAATTTTTTATTTTATTTTATTTGTATTCTTTCACTTATTGTTGCATGTGTGTTGTTGCTGCCTGTGTTTGAGTAATTTCTGTAACTGTGAGACATCTGCTGCTGCCTATCTTGGCCAGGTCTCCCTTGAAAAAGAGGTTTTTAATCTCAATGGGATCTTCCTGGTTAAATAAAGGTTAATAAATAAAGGTAAATAAATAAATAAATAAATAAATAGCAGCTTCAGTGTTTGACGACCAGGACGAAAACCACTCTAATGGATCTGAGTCTCAATCACCCAGGCATAAACCTTCTCGGGGTGATTGGAAAGGTTTAGGTAACTGTGACCTCATAAAGCATGACCATGGCATTCATACGCCAAGGTTAACAGTGAAGTCTGGACAGAAATATGATTTATGCTTGACTTGTTCATAAAACATACAGTTGTATGTGGCGTGTGGAAGCTTCTGTTTGATGCTTTGCATGCATGTTGCAGTATCATAATGTTAAAATGAAGTGAGAGAAAATCAAAATATAAAGCTTCAGACCATAAAATAAAAACAATCAGAACACAGTTGCTGTGATCATTCACTGAGCTGAGGGCAATGGCACAATTAGCTAATGATTCTTGTCAGTTTCATATTACATATACCCATTTGACCCATTTTATTCATAAAAATGAGGATGTTTCCAGCTTTATGCCTCACTCCACACTTTCCTCTTGGTCATTTGCACCCTTCCTATAATGATTCATTGTTTCTAAGGCTCATTCAAAGGCACTTTGCTTTAACGCCATGTCCTCAGACATGAAGTTGGGCAGGAATGTGGCTCGAACCTTCCTGGATTACTACAAACTCAATAACTTCGTTAAGGACAACAGACCAACTCCTATTCAAAGGTAAAACTGTATGGCACTAGAATTAGATATTCATGAAAGCAAATCTATCTGTGACTATTGTCAAATCTACTTTTGTTTTTCCTCTTCTCTGAATTTCACGCTGTCACTGATGTTCGTCTGTTTTTGTCTCCAGTTCTGGGGTGATGTCCCAGACAGGCAATGGTGTTGGCAGAGACACAGCAGACCGAGAGAAGGAGAAGAGCGAAAGTGTCGGGCACTAGACAGCCAGCCAGACGGACACAGGCTGAGCATGTATAAAATGCAGAGCACTGTGGCAGGAGAATCCTTCACACTTCATTGTGTTTATAAGCTCCACATCTCCCTGGCTATAAAGACTTATTTTCACAGATTTGTAACAGTGGGATGACTGGTACTTGTAGGACTAAACCCAGAAGAGGCTTCCTCCTGGGTTATAAAGCATGGACTGTTGAATACCAAGAGGAGACAGACTGGTTATTCATCTATGTTTCCATCCAAGGCCTTCATTTGGCAGCTCATTTTTTTGTTGAGAAGAAAAAAGTGCATGCGCTCCTG